TTAATTTCTCCTTTGACCCATTCATCATTCAAGATTGTGTTGTTTAATTTCCACGAGTTCATGTAGTTATGAGGACTTCTTCAGGTGTTGATTTTAAGCTTTATTGTTGTAATCTGAGAGAATGAATGGAGTTATTTCATTTTTTTTCTATTTGTTGAGGCTTGTTTTTTGCCCCAGTATGTCGTCGATTTTGGAGAAAGTTCCATGGGGTGCTGAATAGAAAGTATATTATTTGGTGTTTGGGTGGAATATTTAGAAGATGTTTGTTAGGTCCATTTGATGTATGGTGTCATTTAATTCAGATGTCTCTGTGTTTATTCTTTGTCCCCTTGACCTGTCTAATGGAGACAGTGGGGGTATTGAAGTCCCCTACTATTAATGAGTTGTGATTAATCTGTGTCTTAAAGTCCTGTTTTTATGAAGTTGGGTGCACCAGAGTTTGGGGTATTTATGTTCATGACTGTAATATCTTCTTGGTCAATTGTTCTTTTGACCAGAATGAAGTGACTCTCTTTATCTCTTCTGATTAGTTTTAGTTTGAAGTCTCTTTTCTCAGATATTAGAATTGCAACTCCTGCTTTTTTCTTAGTACCATTTGCTTAGAACACATTTTTCCATCCTTTCACCTTAAGGTAGTGTCTGTCCTTCAAGGTGAGATGAGGGCTTCGGATTCTCCTGAATGTAGGACTTTGTTTCTTAATCTATTCAACTAGTCTGTGTCTTTTGACTGGGGAGTTCAATCCATTGATATTTAAAGTTATTATTGAAAGATGTGCATTGATTCCTGTCATTTTAATTTCTGTTGGCATTATTGGTCTAACTGTGCATTTCACAGTTAAACCTTCATTTGGTTTCTTTCTGTTACCCCTTGGATATAGTCATTCCTTTCTTCAGCTCTTTGTATTACTTCAAGAATTCTATGAAGGGTTGGTTTTGTGAGCATGAATTGTTTTGGTCTATTTATGTTGTGGAAGATTTTTCTTTCCCCTGCAACTATAATAGACATTTTGGCTGGGTAAAGTATTCTGGGTTGGCATCTGTGGTCATTTAGAACTGGGAATTCTTTGGTACAGGGCTCTTCTGGCTTTCATAGTTTGCTGAAAAGTCAGCTGTAATTCTGATGGATTTTCCTTTACGTGTGACTTGTTTTTCTTTTGCAGCTTATAGTATTGTCTCTTTGTTCTGTACACTTAGTGTTTTTACTATGATGTGCCATGGGAATTTTCTTTTCTGGTCCTATTTGGTATTCTGTGTGTTTCTTGTATTTGTATGGACATATCTTTCTTTAATTTTGGGACATTTTCTTCTACAGTCCTGTTAAAGATCTGGTCCTAACCATTATCCTGAGATTCTTCTCCTTCCTCTATGCCTATGATGTGTAAATTTGGTCTTTTCATGGTTTTCCACAGTTCCTGAAAATTCCATTCCTGTATTTTCTTAAATTTTTCATAATCTTGCTTGAGCAGTCCAATTTGTGAACTTTATCATCCAGTCTCAATATTCTATTTGAAATTTCATTCATTCTATTGGTGAGGCTTTCTCCTGTCATTTCTAAATGGCTTATTGAGCATTTCACTTACTTCTTCATTTCGGCCCATTTTCTTCGCTATTTCCAACTCTTGTGAATTCAGTCAGAAATTTATCCCTATCTTCTTTTATTTCTTTGATCTGTTTGTGTGTTCTTTAACCTCATTGAATTCTTTGATCACGTGTATAATTTTCTTTTACTTCTGTGTCCTGGATTATCTCTAGGGAGTTCTCATTGTACACCTCCTCTACAGGACTGTTGGTGCTTGGAGGGGACATATTATTTGGGTTTTTCATGTTGTTATTTTTTCACTGTGACTTTGGCATGTGGATTTCTTTTGTTGTTTCTGAGTTTGGTGTGAGACTCAGGCCTTCCGTTTTTAAGTCTGTTTCTGCCAGGGGTTCAAACCAGCGACCTCCGGTGAGGTGAGGATTGGGGATGAGTAAGCACGCGGTTCGCCAGCCCATGCCGCCCCCATTCCCCAGACACTCAGACGCAACGGGATGTCAGGCAGGTGTTACAAAGCTTATAAAGGAACCTGGAACTCCCCCCTCCCCCACTGAGGGTGTGTCTTAAGGATGGTCACTGCTGATCATGCACTCCTCAGCAGTGCGGAAGTATTCTTCAGACTTTCAAAGCAAGCCAGGCCATGCCCCCAGTAACTTCCTTTCGGACCTATGCGAGGTGGGGCTTTTAGGTCCCCCACATGTTTCTGTTTGTATACTTGGTGTGACTCTATTATTTTCTTATTGGTATGAAAAGCTTGTTGGTCTAGGCTTCAGGTTCTCTCTTGATTTTATATTGGAGGGGTCAGATGGCTCTAGTCCAGCTACTCAGGTGTTCCCACAGATGCCCAAGTTAGATGGCAGGCTTCCTCCTAATTTCTGGGCACACCTGTAATCAGCAGGCATAGTACAATTTGGGAAGCTTTCTAGGTGGAGGTTTTATTTAGGCGATCTCAGCCATTCTGCCAAAGTCTGGGCCCCTACTAAAGGGCAGGGAAGCCTAAAGCTGCAGCAGTGGGAGATGCTGTAGGTGGTCCCAAGGTAGGGGAGACGGCATGGTTTGGAAAACTCACTGCCTTGCAGAGTTAAGAGGGTACTCCAGAGATGTGGGTGCTAATTGCAGAAGTGGGTGGATGTCCAAGGCTAGAAAGAGACTAGGATGTGGGGGCAGATCAGACTTATCAGGGAAGAAGATTGACCTCTGGAGTCCCAGGCAAGTTGGGGTAGGGTCAGGGGGCAGCCAGGATAGAAAACTGGTCTCAGGTATGCAAAGGCAGGTTGTAGGTGGGGACAAGTATGAAGACTAAGAATCTAGACTGAAGAATTATTGAACTGATCTGGGTGCAAGGGATCAGGATGCGGTGGTCAGGTCTGGACTGAGAGGGTACTCCAGAGATCTAGGGTGCTAAGGGCAGAAGTGGGCTAGTGCCCAAGCCTAGGAGAACCACAGTTACTTAATATTATAATGATTATAAACATAGTAATTTGAGTCTTTTGTAACGCCTTATGGATTTATTCAGTGAAACGCCGAGGGTTTGGGATAAATCTCTAGCATGTAAAATAAATCAGCGTAATACCAATTTAAAGCTTGAAGGTAATTTCAGATGTATTCAGTTTAATGCCAGCTGTTTACCTAAGAAGCAATTAACTTCTAAGATAAAATTTCTTGTGTACTTCGCATGTCTGACTACTAAGGTATGCCAAACCTACAACTCCAGAATTTTGACTGACTCCAGTATCCTTAATACAGCATGACAGCTGACCTCTTGGTTGCTCGTGGTGTAAATATATGCCCAACAGTCAAGATTTAGGAAGTCACCTTAGGACACTGTATATGTACCCAATAGTAATATCATTTCTTCCATTCAGTTAACCAAAATTAACAAAGTTTAGTTTTTCAGGCAGAACTGAAGTCAGTAAAAAATGTTTCTGTATAAACACTGACACCGAATTCATTATGTTTTCTCGGTGGGGGGAGTGGGGGAGTTGCCCACTTGTGCATAATGCATGTTTCAGCCTGGCAACATTTGTAGCACTGAAAGTCATTAACAGAAGAGATCAAAATAATTTAACAAGTGAAAGGAAAAAAAATTCTGTTGGAGTGATTAAGGTGCACCCAAACTTGCTTCTGTTTAGAGGCATTCAAGTCTCTGACACTCATTGGAAAGGGGCAATACCTTCCCTAGCTTTTTAGCCCTGCTTCCATGCCCAGTGCCCCTTCCTCAGGTCCACAACAGTGTGGGAAGTGTATAGATGAACTCCCTTCCTGCCTTTCCCTTTCTGTCTTCTGTGAGATCCCAGGAGATGCTGCCTTCTCTCCCAGGGCCCCTTCCATTTCCTATACATTTTGTGACCTATCGCAGTAAATTCTACCTCCAACATGTCTTTCTAGTGGCTATCTCTCAACTTTTCCATCAGTTTCTTCCTTGTTTATCACTAATGCTCATGAACTCTCAGAATAGTGTTGTTATTATACAAAGGATTGTCTAAGAATTAATTGACTGAAAACTTACAGTAACTCTACAGTATACGTATATTGTCATTTCTCCTTTCGGATGAGTAAAAGACAGTAAACAAACTAGATAACACCAGAATTTAAAATGTAGTGACACTTCAGTCTACTGACTCACCCAACTGAAATATGCAGTTCACACCGGAGGGAGGCTGTTCCACATGCAAGCCAAGCACAGGCTCTTAAAGTGGGCAGTCATTTACAGAGCAGACTCAGAGAGGGTAACGACCTGTACAGTCTTGTTTTTCCTCATCCCTGGTCAGGAACTACATGCAGGTAGTTTCACTTCCTCCACCTGCATCCTCAGTGGTTGTGTATTATTTATGAGATTAAAATGGAATCTCATAAATAATCTAAGTGAATCTTCAGAATTGCTTCTACAATGTTGTCAGGAGGGCTAGGGGTGAAGCAGGGATGCTAGAGTGTCAGAAGTAGAAGCTAGGCTAGAGAGATGGCTCAGCAGTTAAGAGTACTGGCTGTTTTTACAGAGGACCTGAGATAGGTTCCCAGCACCCACTGAGCAGCTAACAACCATTTTTAACTCTAGTTCCAGGAGATCCAACACCCTCTTCTGACCTCCGAGGGCACTGTGTGACAGGGGTGTACTTACATACATGTGGGCAAAACATTCATACACCTAAAATAAAAATGAACGCATTGAAAAAGTAGAAGCTGGGGTGGTAGCATGTATCTGTAATCTCAGTACTTGGGAGGCTGAGGCAGGAGGATTGTTGTGAGTTTGAAGCCCTCCTGAGCTTCATAATGAATCCCAGGTCAGTTTGGACTATATAGTAAGACCCTGTCTCAAAAAACAAAAACAACAAAGCAAGGGGAAATTGAGTCATTGCTCAGGCCCTTTGGCTGTGTCAGCAGGCTCGTTGTTTACTGTATTGAGATAACATGGTTTTCAGGACTTGGACTGTCTGCTGGTTAAGCCTTGACTTTCTGTTGGCAGCAATCAGTTAAGCTGCACAATCTGGTGGAGGACCACAACAAAGTTCAGGTCACAATCATCGTAAAAAACAAAGGTAAGTGACTTGTCCTACCTCTGTAGCACCCTACTATTTCAGAGCTCACCCTGTACCATTCATTCTTTAATATTAGTCAAGGACAAAAAGTCTTCTGATTGACTGGGACTAGGACGATACAAGACATCTAGCTCTTAACTTTTAAGGAGGTTAAGATTGCAAATGTTATAGACACGAGAAAGTGGGAAAAGGCTCCAACCCCACCTGAGGAAATTGTCAACAGATGGCTACTGGGAGGGGCATCCAGTCTCTTTCAAGCATGGGACTCCTGGTAGGTTAACCAGGCTCCAGTGGATGAACCCACACTGAAGGACATTTGGGGACACAAGTTAGATTAAATGGAATTGAGGGGGGCAATAAGAGGAGGGGTGGATAGGGAAGGAGATCCAAATACCATTGAATTATATTGAATGAAACTTGTAAGAATTCTGTAAGAAACTTCAAATGTTAGCCCTGCTCTGAAGAACCCTAAGAGTGATGGCTTTGTTTAACTCTGAACCCCAGGCCTCTGGCTTGTCCCACCCCCTTCCCAGCCCTGGTCCAGCCACTCCTCCTCACCATGTTGACTATTTCAAATTCCCTTTGCTTACATACATCCATGCACTTGAACATTAATAGTAAACCTTTTTAAGCCTCCTTAATTTTTCTGTAGTAGCCATCCCGGAGACCCTGCATCACACTTTTCAAGGTGTACTCTGAAACCTAGGCTTGAATGTAACTTTTAGATGCTGAGAGGACTCTTGACATTTGCTTGGAGTTAGCCTAGGGTAGGGTGTCCAAGTCCTCTGCAAGGAGTAAAGAACTGCGTTCCAGAGAGACAGAAGCTCTATGGACAGCTTCCAGGAAGCCTCAGACTGAAGTGATCACAGGGTTCAGGCTCAGACAGAGCAAACAGTAGCCAGAGGGCGCCTCTTCCTCGCCCAATGCCCTGGGATATTTCTTGTGCACAGAACACTGACCAGGTATTAGGATTCAAACAGGATCTTGCTGCTCTGCTAATCTTTTGCTATATCCCAGGAGCCAACTCCTTAATCCTAATTCTCTTGCAGTTTTTCAGTTGAGTGGAAAGGGGCTCAAATGGGTGACCAGGTAGGGTAGGTCTTGCACAAGTAGTAAATAAGCATTCTTAATTGTTTTAATTCTTAAAATAGGCAAAAGTCAGACAGTCATGGGTATTTTGCTGTTCTATAGGTTTGCAGGAGTTAGAATCTCGTCTCTTGGTTCCCGGAGATATTCTTATTCTTCCAGGAAAACTTTCACTACCATGTGATGCTGTTCTGATCGATGGGAGTTGTGTGGTGAATGAAGGCATGCTCACAGGTAAGCTGTTGTCTCACAGCATCGTGTCCTGTTCCTTGTACAAAAGGTAGGCCAAGTGTTAGCAAGTCACATCAATATGTACCCATAGAGTTGGTATCAGGTCCCATGCTAAGACAGTAAGTAGGTAACAGAGACAGAATATACAGCGTTTGTTAATGATAAGAATTAATTCACAATAAACATAAACCTAGAAGAAACATTTAATATTCTATGGGATTTATTGCCTTATTAGGTGGGGTGAAGCAATGAGTGGAAAGGGGCTTGGAGGGTGAGCAAATTGAAACACAGCCTCTTCATAAATATGAGAAAGGTTTATGTCCATATGGGAAAAAAGTGAAACCTAAAAATCCAAGTGCCTCAGTCAGAAGGGAGGATTTTGTACAGATATGTACTCTGTAGGCCGGAGAGTACTTAGCTGTGGGTCTTACTGGAAAGTTCCAGTGAGCCTCATACAGAGAGCAGCCCTGTTCTTGCTCAGATTCACATCCCCCATTGATCTCACAGAAAACTGGGTTTCTAGTTACAGTTCAAATGGTTCTAGTTTTCACTTGCAATTTATAAAGTCTGCTCGTACTTGTATAATTAGTAAGGCACGATTTATAAAATTACCCTTTAGTTAAGAAGAAAACCACTAAGCACAGCACATTTTAATGAGAAACGCTATTCGGCAGTACAAGATTAAAGCTATCTTTTGTGCTTATAGATTGTTAAACTTTCCTATTTCTAAGTGACATAAAGATTGTGGGGGACACATACAAAACTTTAACATAATCTAAATGGAATGTAAATTCATTATCTTTTCCTAAATTGTTCAACATAAGTAGATTTCACATTTAAAAAGGGTCTGCTTACTTTAAAATTGGTTGAACTATAGCAAACACAAATATGTTTGTATAATTTAAAAAATGCTTTAATGTGTTGAAATCTAACAGCTACAACGAGTATCTGCATACCAAGGACATCTCTTTTTCTTTATTTATTGAATTTTTGGGAATCCCAGACCCTCTCTTTATCGGCACCTCTCTCCATAGCCCCCTTCTACTGAATTTCATGTATTCTGTCATATATGTTAAGGTCTATTGAGCCAAGTTTATGTCCTTAACTGTCCTTCGCTGTGAGTTCATCCACTGGAGCGTGGTCAATCTAGCTAGCATCACTCCCTTAAATAAAACCAACTCTCCATCTGCCAATAGTTTCTCAGCTAAGGTTGTGGCTTTCTGAGTTAATCGCCATCTATTGCTTGAGGAAGCTTCCTTGGTGAGAGTTGAGAGATACATTAAGATTCTTTCTTCCCCTGCTCCTGTACACCTTTAATCCCTGCAGTCAGAGGCAAAGGCAGGTGGATCCCTGTGAGGTCCAGGCCAGCCTGGTCTATATAGCAAGTTCCAGGCCATCTGGGGCTATAGGGAGACCCTGTCTCAAAAACAAGCAAACAAGCAAATTAAAATTAAGAAAAATTAACTATTGTGCCAAGAGAAAAAATGCTAAATATTAATGGATTTTTCCCTCCATGATGTTGCCTTTTGGGTCTTAAAGGAGGTTATTTCATTGCCTCAGGAATGGCATTTCCTTCCTTTGCTTCTTCCTCTCATCCTCCTCCCTCTCCATTTACTTTTTGTAAGTTCAGAATTACCTACTATGTGCCAGGCATAGTGCTGAAGCCAGCGAGATGAAGGAGAAATTATTCCACTGGCAAATAATTTTCAGTCGAATAGTCCCAGCAAGGTAAATAAGCAAGGACATGGCATTTCAAACACTGTCACCGCCAAGAGGCCTCCAGCTCCTTGGGAATGTGGGAGAAATCTCCATTTGATAGCAGCAGGGGTCTCAAGGTCCCTAGAGACAACACCACAATCAAAATACTTCCTCTAAAACTTAATCTGACCTTCTCAGACCCCAATTTTCTTGTAGGTGACTCTATCTTGTTTTGTACTCCCAAGAAAGGCCAAGGCATGAGATTTCTTGCTAATATGTGAAGAGTATAAAAATCTGTGTAAATTTGTCTGACTCAGGTGTCATTTCTGGAACATTATCTTGAGGTGACTTTATTTGCTCAATACCTGTCTGGCTCCAGTTTCATTGGAATGGGTAAAAGAAAACTGTTAACTAATATTGTATTAGTCAAAACAGTATTGTGGATCAGTATTTTTGATACAGAGTTATCTGCCTATTACAAGGGCTGACTTTGAAACAATGTGGTACAATTATTTGGAGATTTAGCAAAAGGTTCTCTTTCTTTTACAAAGCCTTTTAGAATGTAATTGGTAAATCTACACAGTGAATACATATCTTAACTGTTTTTAAAAAATTGCAGAAGGAAATGTTTAGCTAAAGGAATTTCTTGAAGAATATTCAAGACTGCTAATAAAATTTTTATAGCTTCTTCTACCTTATGATGTGAATATATACCAAACAAGGAAAGTAGTTTTGAAAAACAATAATAGAAAAGCTTGAGCAATTGCTTTTATTTAATTCAGCCATGTATTTAGCAAAAATCATATATTTTGAACCTATTATACACCATGAGGGAAAAGAAGAGCATAAAAAGTTATTTATGTCAAAATTCCTGTCCTAAGTTATTACCTAGAAAGAGATAAGAAATAATACAACTATAATCAATATGATGATATTTCTAAATTATAAAAATGACAGATTATTTTGGTAATTGAGCATTTAGCAAAAAACTGATAGAATTTTAAATTTGTTCTAATGCTCTGTAAATCTGGGAACCAGGAAGTGTTATTAACATTTTTGTTTTGCTTGTGAAATTTATCTCTTTGAACTTGTAGCTAATTTTCTTTGTACCTTCAATATTCCGTCCTACAGCTACCAGGAGAAGGGGGAACTGGGAGCAGCAAAGAATGGGGGGCACTTAACAGAGCTGCAAGGGCCTGGGTTAGCTGCAATGTATACATGGGATTAGCCAGGGAGGGTGCTGGAACTGTAGTGGGCTTTGGTAATCTAGCAAGGGAGTCTGGGGTTTATTTTTTCAGTGGCAAGGGGAAAAGAAAGCCTGAGCATTTCTGAGCAGAAAATGGAATAATGAAAGAGTGGCTTTGAGAAGGGTCATGTGGAAAATGTAGAAACCCACTGTGATTTTCCAGCCTGGGTCCTGGGGCTTGATGAGGGCCGGGTTTCTGTCTCTTATGTTTATCATTCTATTCCCAGCATCTAGCAGAGTTTCTGTTACAGAATAAGCACTTTAAAATATTTGTGGAATAGAAGGAAAAATGTGTGGGTGCACAGGTGATTGAATGAATGTCAGTATGCATGCACTGGTTTACAGCTTCTGGAACAGAGCTGGGTCGATGAATGCTTGGGAACATGGCTAAGTAAGAATTTAGCTGCTCTTTAACTTATAACAACAAATCATTCATGCCAGGTATAGGACAGATAAACAGAGCTTTAATACTTGGACTGGAAGTGAGCCTACCCCACAAGCATCCCTGACCAGTCATCTGACTTGTGGGATGAGCTAAGTTAAGATGGGGTTGGTTGTGGTTGCACAGTTTCTTTCTGGCCAGGACCAGTGTTGAGTTTATAAAGAACTGACAAAACACACCCCTCTTTAGGAGAAAGTATACCTGTTACAAAGACACCATTGCCCCAGACGGAGAATACCATGCCCTGGAAATCCCACAGCTTGGAAGACTATCGCAAACATGTGCTTTTCTGTGGGACAGAAGTGATCCAGGTCAAGCCATCAGGGCAGGGGCCTGTAAGAGCCGTTGTTTTGCAGACAGGTGAGTTGGATCAACTTTTGTAAATTTAGGTGATGCTTGGAGGAGGGAAGAATTGGAGGCCCGAAATTTTGCTTAGAATTTTGGAATTGGCCATATTCTGGTAAGAGCAGCCATATGCTTTCCAAGCCAGACCCTTATGGCTCTAAGTTGCTGTGATTTTTAACTGTATGTTCATGTTACGTGAAGAAAGATATGCATAAATATGAATTTCCTTAAAGGCAAAACTGTGCTCTGGGTTTGGCTTGTGCCTGGAGGCTTCTCTTTTCCCCTCGATATCCCCACCTCCCTGCCCCCGAGGATTGCCAGTAGAGCAATGCTGAAGGATCTGTCCCCTCAAGGAGTTGCTTGCTCTGTAGATGAATGGGCAATTGCACCATGGGAACCACTGAAGCCCTGACATCCAGAACAAGAGGAACTAAACAGGACTGAGTGACTGCTGGTCCAACCACATGGGTTGGCAGGGGGCTGTAATGAAGGGCCTTATCTCTCTGTGGTTGTCTCCATGTAGGTTATAATACAGCAAAAGGGGACTTGGTGAGATCCATCCTCTACCCACGACCTCTGAACTTCAAACTATATAATGATGCCTTCAAGTTCATGGTGTTCCTGGCCTGCCTTGGTGTTGTTGGATTTTTCTATGCCCTAGGGATCTATATGTACCATGAAGTAAGTACTGAGAGTAAGTTTTTTCATTCACATAGCTTTTCCAAGAGTTTGACCTAGCTTCAGAGGGTTAGATAAGATTAACTTTGATCCCACAAGTCTTTGAATCAATGCTGTCTGTTATAGTCAGGGTTCTCTAAAGAAACAGGATAGGATGAATTTTATATATGTATATATATATATATCATATATATTATATATTATATGTGGACTTATTAGGTTAGGTTGCAGGATAGAGTCCTAGTAGTCCATCAATGTCTGCACTACACTGGAGAGACTGAGAATCTGGTCCACAAGGCTAGAAGTCTCAGGAGTCCAGATCTGGTGCCAAAGTCCTGGAGGATTCTTGTAGATCCGCTAGCCTTCAGTCTGTGTTGGAATCTGAAGGAGTTGGTCATAGCAGCAAGATAAACTCACCAGTGAGAGAGAAGACAAGCAGGAAAAAAGCAAAAAGCTCCCTTCTGCCATGGCCTTTTATATGGCTGCCATCAGAAGGTAACACCCACATTTAGGGTAGGTCTTTCAGTGTCAAATGATCCAATCAAGAAGGTCTCTCTCTTATCAGTTAATTGCAGATCCAATCAAGTTGACACCCAGGATTAGCCATCATACTGTCCAAGAGAACCTCCTTAGATGGTTGTAATACTCTATGTCTGCATGCCCAATATGACAGGATTTTTTTTGGAGATGCACCTCAGTGATAGAGTGCTTGTGTAACATGTATAAGGCCCTGGGTTTAATCTCCAGCAATACACACACACACACACACACACACACACACACACCCACACCCACATGATGCATGGTAGTGTTTAGCCATATGTAACTGAGGAATGAATTTTTAATTTAAATTTATATTGCATAGTGGAGCTATGAAAAGGTGCAATGGTAAAAACACCATTTGGCACACACACACACACACACACACACACACACACACACACACACACCCACATGATGCATGGTAGTGTTCAGTCATATGTAACTGAGGAATGAATTTTTAATTTAAATTTATATTGCATAGTGGAGCTATGAAAAGGTGCAATGGTAAAAACACCATTTGGCTTTTAATGAGGGGTTGCAATACCCAAACACAAATAACCTTATAAGAAATACATGTTTCTCAATACCTGTTTTCTCAAATGAGAAAAATTTAGCTATCAAGTCAGAGGACAGCTATAGAGGATCAAGTTTCATTTGGATGTCTCTCTTCACTGGTGGCCAGGAGGGAAGAGTTTTCTCCTATAGTATCTGAGGTGCTTTCTGATTCTAAGATTCTTCTGTGCATGCTGAGATCCTAACTTTGACCTTGTCAAGAAGAGGTAATTAATATAGCTGTGAAGCTAGGCATAGGTGGCCTTAATTCTAATGTCCAAACTGGTGGTACTGGTGAATTATGGGTATTTGTGAACATGGGAGGGAGAAGTGTCAGATATTGGTGGAGGATGACATAATCAGAAAAGTTTGTAGGTAATGCTCATGGTAAAACCCTGACTTCTGAAATAAGACTCCAGGGAAATAAGATCAGGGAGGCTGGCACATTTTGTCACTGGTAGAATGGAGCTGAGGAGGAACTAGGCAGGATGACAAGGTCACTGGGTCCAGAATGGAAGGCACTGTGCCAGTCTGATCTGGGGAATGGAAGAATCAATCAGAAAATCAAAATGGAAGTCCTGGCACAGTCTGGAATGAAGGTTTTCTGGACAAAGCTCAATATGCAATCCACACCAAGGCGGCAAACTGAATCCCAGACCTTGTCTTCTTGTGGGTCAGAAACTCTGGTCCTGTGGCTCTCTCTGTCTTCTTTGGTTCAGGATTAGACAAGTCTGGGTCTGCAGGGTCAGAACTCCTCTGTATATGCAGCTGGAGAAAGCAGTTGTTGCAGGAAGCAAGTAAATAATGTATCTAGAGTAAACACAGTGTCTTCCATAGAGAGAGAAAATAACGTTGGTACTGGCTTCCCGGAGCTAATAACACTGAGACTCTGGGATCTTGATTCCAGTGTAGATCAGGTCACCATTCCTCTGTCTGGATGCTGAGAACCTCCTCTGCCCCAGACTTTGTGCTGGGCTCTGGACCGCCACACAAACTGGACATTCGAAAGTGAATGAGTCATAGCTGCTGTGCCCAGGGCATTTGCAGGATGGTGGGGGAGAGAGCTTCAAAAACCAGATCAAGTTCCTGAGTGAACTGTTACAACCTAAGACCTGCCGGCTTGTCCCAGGAGCTCAGAGGCTGTGCGGAGGTACGATGAACAGAGAAGGGAAGGGTATTTAGCTGGAGGGAAAGGTCAGGGGACTTGCAGCAGGGATCAAAGTTCTCCATTGCTTTATAGTGGGGGCAATATGTGCACATTTGAGGGGACAGCCAACAGAACACTCAAGCCCACCAAGAGAGTCCACTCATCCTGCCGGCTTGTCCCAGGAGCTCAGAGGCTGTGCGGAGGTACGATGAACAGAGAAGGGAAGGGTATTTAGCTGGAGGGAAAGGTCAGGGGACTTGCAGCAGGGATCAAAGTTCTCCATTGCTTTATAGTGGGGGGAATATGTGCACATTTGAGGGGACAGCAAACAGAACACTCAAGCCCACCAAGAGAGTCCACTCACTAGGAATACTCTGAGCCCAGGTCTAGGCTGCCACGGGTAGCAGGAGACTGCTAGGAGAAAAGTGCCACCTGCCCTGCTGCGCTAACCTGTGTGCATCTTCTTCCCCTCCCCAGGTTCCTCCGAGATTCACTGCAACCATGGCGCTGATCCTCCTCACTGCCACTGTCCCTCCCGTGCTCCCAGCTGCTCTGACCATAGGCATTGTGTATGCTCAGAAGAGACTGAAGAAGAAGAAAATCTTCTGTATCTCCCCACAGAGAATCAACATGTGTGGGCAGATAAACCTTGTGTGCTTTGACAAAGTGGGTTCCAAACTTTCCATGTTGGGCATTGATGGTTTTGATGCATGGCAGAGCTAGGAAGGAACCCAGGAAATGTCTGTTCTAGTGCCACCACTTTAAAGATGGGATAGAAGGGTCAGAGGAAGTCACAGAATGAGCTAGCATGAGGTCACAGTCCAGAAACCAACTTTGCTGACTGAGAAGGTGGAAAGGTGACCATCACATCATGATTTCCCCAGAAAAATGTAGCACATTTTGTGACTGTTTTATGTTTTAAAACGCTCTCTTGCTCTGATCACTGTTTTTTTTTTTTTCAGGCAAAGATGTGAGGAAATTTTTTGCTTTAGATATGCCCTGTCTGGAGCTTATGGGAGCAATTCCCGTCTTCTTCACTACTTCTTGTAAAGAAAGAGGTGGAGTGGACAATGGCCAGTGTTGACACTGTTCTCAACACTCTTTCCTTTGCTCCAAAAGGTTTTTTCTGTGCTTAGGGGCCTGGAGGGGTAGCAGAGGGAGAGTGTATTCCAGATGGGGAGGACCACTGTTGTCTGGCAGCTTCCCGGGCCTGCCTGATGATGCTCCGGTGGCAACCTGGAGGAAGTTCAGCATCAGCTCCCTGCTGTCCAGTTCCTGCACTCAGCTTGGAGAGGCTGGTTTAGTGGCTGTGGAGCTGTGGGCCTGGGTTGATCTTCCCTGTATTTAATTCATTTGTATTTGAATAATTGATCAACACTTGACAGTTTTCAGCGAACTGCCATTGACAAGCCTGAGAGCACAGTGCTGGTAGAATGTTCTGAAGGGACCTTTCTAGTTTTGAAGAGATTCCCAGTCTAACTGAGGATGTAGGGAAGATGTGTAAAGACAGCTGCCATGCATGGAGGTGAAGGCTTGGCGGAGGTCTGAGTGTCACCTGCTGCAGGTGGGAGGCCACCACTGAGCTGCAGCGTCTTTGTTAAATGAAATGACCCAGACTAAAGGCAGCTTGTTTAAAGTACAAGGACATAAAAGGCATGCAGCATTGGGAGACAAGATTATAAAAGAGAGCTAGAAGGTGAGCTGTTTGCTAAATGATCCTGGAAGGCTGATATGGCAAGGTAAGTGGCTGAGCCATGTCTGGAAGGAAGAAGTAAACCCTTACTATTTTTTTGAGAAGACTACTAAAATCTTATAGATGTTTCTATTTATTCACTGGAGGGAATTTTATGAGGTGTATTAGTTACTTTTCTTCTCATTGTGACCAAATATCCAAAAGCAGCAACTTAAAGGAGGAGAGATTTATTTGGGCTCAAGGATAGTCTATCATGGCAGGGAAGGCATGGTGGAGCTCGTGCACAACTAGAGCTACGCAGGAAGCAGAGTGCTATCCTGGAAGTGGGGCAAGACGATAAGCTTCAAGGCTTGCCTCCAATAGCCTGTGCCCCAAAAGTTCTACAACCTTCCGAAACAGTGCTATCACTTGGACACCAAATATTCAAACACATGAGCCTGTGCGGGGGGACAGTTTATGTTCAAACCATAACTGGAGGGTTGGAGGAGTGACAGGATAGAGGGAGAGGATCCCCGGAGACCACCGAGGGGACCAGTTGTAGTCTTAGATGGTAAGGGCAAGCCTGGGGAGTTGAGGAGAGCCTGAAGCTGCCTGGGGAAGCTGCCTGGGGAGGCCTGGTACATGTCCCAGTGGAAGCTGCCTGTCCGTTAGCTTTTGTCACTTCTCTTTCTCTTTATGTTTCATTTGGCAAGTAAGGCCTTGATCACCATCAGTTAGGAACTGGGGACTTAACAGAGCAATAGCTTTATTTTAGATTCATGGGCAGATTACAGATCTTTGGCAGTTTTCTGAGAAATATTCCTATTACATACCCCAGCCTCACTAGTATCTGAACTATAGAAGAACTCTTTATAAAATATGCTCCTTTCATTCATCTGTTACGAAGACTAAGTTTTCTCAGAGGCTACTCATTTTCCTTCCTACACAAAACTTCTTTGCATTCTCACACTGTCTTCTGCTAGACTGCCACAGGGTCTGCTCCTTTACCCACTTGGCCAAATTCCACATGACATGGAGGCCTGTTACAATGCACAGAACACCAGCGTGGGAATGGCAAAACGAGACATCTAGCCCTGAGTTTGAAACTAAGTTTCCGTTTCCCTATTTCAGATAGGAAGTTTAAATATAATTATTTTCAAGGTTTTTTTCCTAACTTTACATGATAACACTCTATCAACATGTTGCCATAAAACAGCCTACAATTAATTTCCACCCAGTATTATAGCACTGGGCTTCTGAGTGTATTTGTTTATACATACATATTTCTCTTTTTTATTGATTTGTTAGAAGTTCAAGATGAATTCTCTATTCAATTCAGCTCAAGCTTGTGCTTGTCTTTATGTTAAGAGGATTTCTTTTTCTATTTTATTCTCTTTAAATTAAAACTTCAACTATTTCTATTTATGTTTTTTTTTAACATGAGGCCATTTTCACATAGAGAAATAACATGGTCTCATCTCTATTTTCCTGTTCAAAACACTGATGTTTAAAAATATAACTTACTCATAAGGAAGACATTTCTGTTTGAATTAAGTTGCTAACTCACTTTGAAATGGAACAATTCAAGGGGATTTGGATAGTGAGCATGGAGATTGAGGCCCTTGTAGAATGCAGGAGGAAAATAAAGCAAATAGCTGCTTTAGAAATGTTGTTTTATAAGGAATAGTGCCTACAAAACTTGTACCTCTTTCTTTGTGAAGTTTGGATGATTCACTGAAAGGATTCTTTGATTCTCTTCATTTGAGGACCAAGAATGGGCTTTATTTTTCCACATGCATGGTAGAATTAACTAACATTCCTGATGGTGGAAGACCCTGGGTTCTGGCTCAAGCTTTCCAACCCTCAGACCGCTCATTTCACCTCTGGCTTGACTCTTCTCTATTTGTTCAGTTGGAAGATGGAAAATCATTGCAAGCACTTAACTATAAACCATCACGCTGACACGATGTATTCTAATGACTGAAGATGCCACTTGATAGGAAACTAGGAAATTTATACAGAGATGCCTGAAAAGCTCGTTTGAGTGACACAGGTGTCAGTGCTGAGGCAAAGAATTCTGCAGTGCTTAGGACTGTCTCACTTGCCTGGTCCATACTGGAGCAGGTGCAGCCTCTCCACTCACCCAGAGCAGACCCAATGTGGTTAGCCTAAGGCAGAAGACGACAGGGCCTGCAGTTAATGAACAGCTGGGGTATAATGAGGAAATGAAAAGTGCTGTGATACACTCAGTTCTATTTTATTTTCTAGATCACATTTTCTGATAAATACTTTACCGTAGTTCATGACCATGTTCCTCCTGATCTAACAATAAAACTCATTCACAGGCATTAATTAATATTTATTATTAGCTTTTTGTTCTTGTCTGTGGCCTTAAAATCCTTTATCAACATTTCATTATCAATCAGGATAATCACTGCTGTAGTCATAGTTTTAGACATTTTTGGAAAAATCGTTTTATTGAGCCTTTGTACATTTCATACAACATCCATCCCCATCCATGCCTCATCTTTCCCCCCACCCCCCGCACCGGACCTCATACATTCCTCCATACAAGCATTTGTACCAGATGTTCTTCCATGCAAATTCATCCACTGGAGTCCAGTCAGCCTACCTAAGGCAAGGCTACTCTCCCTCACCCAGTAGTAATCAGTCTCCAACAGTTCCCAGGTGAACCAAATGGAAACTTAGGAACTATATGGTCTTGAAAAAAGAAAAAAATGTCCAAGATCAAAGAGTCACAGAGGAGTCAGACTTGAGGTGGTGCTTGTTGGGTTTCCACTTACTGAACCTCTCCATAACAACAGCAACAGATGCTGCAACAAGCAGCCAAAACCAAAGCAGAGCACGTGCACGTTGTCACATAGTAACTAGAACCACAAGGGGTTCTTGCATCATCAGATTTAAAATTTGATGCTCATAAACAGGGTTTCAGATGACTGGATATACTGTAGCTTCTTGGAAACTTTGATTTTGTTTAAATCATGACATAAAAGCTTCAACTATCATGCTAAGGTAAACTGTAACATTTTATTCAGACAGGAACACTAACAGAAGATGGACTGGACCTCTGGGGGACTGTCCCCACTGCTGGCAGCTGGTAGGACTCTTAAGTGAAGAGGGGAGGTGTGGTGAAGGAGTTGCTATGGTGATATTCAAATCCATCCTTGCCTTGTTGAGGAATGAGAGTCACATCACATCTATGCAGTCAGCTCCCAGTTATTCTAACTTGTTTAATTAAATGTGTCCTAAGTTCTGAATTAGACAAAGAAAGCAGATCTTCAAACTCCACAGGAAAAGTGGAATAGAATGAGGTGGATAATTAAGAAGCCATATGAATAAAACAGAGCAGCAAAAAGTGAAATCAAGACCATGCTTAAAGGAGGCTTCCTGGGTGGCTGGGCAGACAGGAGTGTTCAGAGAAGAGCCAGAAAAGAAGGGCTCCATCGCCTCTCCTGCTGACTTCACAGTCTAATGGGATGAAAGAATGCAAATATACTCTCTTCAGTGTGCAACACAGGCCATGAAAATTATTACTATGAAGACAAAAAATCAGAATAGAAACAAAGCAGTAAGGATTGTTCGATAGAACACACAGACTTGATTTTTATGACACATAGTGATTGAAGGTAGAAATTTATTTTGAAGTATAGTGCTTCATATATTGATATCACAACACCCTGAAAATGATGGCATATGAGGTGGGTTTTGAGGCACATGTAGTTAGAAATTTTACAGACCTCGACAAAGTTTTGCCTTGGGAAGAGAAGATAAAATCACATCGATAACATGCGCTAGAGCAGAGAGGGAGAGAAGAGCAAGAATTTTCTAACTCCTTCCCTGCAGGGCTGAGACATGCCTTCTCATTAAGTGGTGAGGACCTCTGTGCTTCAGCTTTGGTTATCCTACTTTGATTCCAAACAGTGGCTGAAGCAGTTGGGGGTCAGAGAAAGAATCAAGCAGGGGCTCCCAAAGATGGTAATGGGACGAGGCACAACATAGGCATGGGGTGCAGCAGACAGCACAGTGTTGCAGAAAGCCCAGGCTGAAGAAGAGGGCCTACTTGATTTCTAGCTCTATTCTTGCACGTCTGCTCCTGGCTGCTCAGATGTGCTGACTAGGCCTTTGCTCAGAGAGACAGGGACATGAAAGAGGAAGACGATGTTTGTAGTTTCCACCACTTGTCTTCCTCTCACGCCCCTAGTGCTCTGAAGTTTTTGAGGGAGTAGAATCAACTAGACTCAAACATTATTCAGGCTTAAATTAGGAGGCGATGAAGGTAAATGATGGCAGGCTATACTGTCAACAAGGAGAAAGCCTTAGTGGCAGGATGCTTGGACTGGAAGTGTCAAGAAATGGCGGTGTACCCAAAGCCCTTCAAAGTCTCGGCTTGCTTTTAGTTACCTGGAGCCACCACACAGGCTTCTTTCTACCTATTATTTCATGAATCTAGAGACTTCTTGCTTAGAGTTTGTTGCCTTTTAGAGAGTCCCTGGGTGTTGAAATAAGCAGGTCTGGGCTGCCTGCTTATTTCTTCCCACAGTTCTTCATTTCGTGGGAGGGGTATAAGCAATGTCACAAAACTGATTATACCCAATACCTCTGAAATTCAATTTTTGATTGACTAGTGGCAATCTATGTCTAAAAGAAAACCCATGCCCAACTTGAAGAAGTGTTATGTAAGCATTACTCTGCAGGCAGAATATTCTGGTTTAAAACTGAAGAAACCAAGTGAGCAGATAACCCAACGCAGGGAAATCCCTGGATGAGTAGACAAAATGAGAAGCTTAGTTTGACCCTGGAACTGTCACACAAAGGACACTGGTGGGAGTAGCAGCTGTAAGGTACCTAGAACTAAAGCAGACAACCTTGATTACCAGGTAACTCAAGACTTGTCTAATAGAGCAGAAATTCTTAGACATTTTGCATGAGTGACTCCTTGTCACCCAAGAAATTTGTATACAACCACAGGTATCTAGGTGCATAAAAGAGATATTCAAATCAAACATTTACTGATCGCAAAATACAAGCTTATTTAAAACTATGCTTTGGTATACACATAATTTTACCATCTATTAAAAACAAAAGCAAATTTTCATACTAATAAGGTGGATGTTCTTGTTTTACATAAAGAATTAAACCTTTGGAGTGAGAGATGACTCAGGGGTTGAAAGCATTGGTTGCTCTCGCAGAGGACCCAGATTCAGTTTCCAGCACCCACATGGCAGCTAACAATGATCCATAACTCCACTTTCAGGGAATCAGATGCCCTCTTTTGGCCATTGTGGACATTGCACACATGTGGTGCACTTATATACATGCACCCAAAACACTCATACACATAAAATATTAACAAAAACTTTTGTTAAGGGGCTGGAAAGATAGCAGTTAAGAGCACTGACTGTTCTTATAGAGGACCCAGTTTGAATCCTAGCACCCACATGGCAGCTAACGACTGACTGTAGCTCCAGTTCCAGGGGATCCGATACCCACTTCTGACCTCGAGGGACATTGTGTGACATGGGTATACTTACATACACACAGGCAATATTCTCATACACATAAAATAAAAATATACCTAAAATATTTTCAAAATTTTGTTGAAAAGAATTTATTTGGTAAAGCAGGATACAGAGTTCGTTTGATGCTTTTCAGAGTGCATCAATGTTTTGATTCTATAATTGTTGATGCTGAGGCTGCTTCTTTACATAAATGTATAGTACTGTGTCTGCTTAGGGCCATTTCAGAAATGGTCGAATTCTGTCCTAATCCAAACCCAAAATTCATTGAATATTTTTTGTTATGAAACTCAAAGTCACTAGCAACTCAAATAATATTGCTAATTTAATTTTAAAACCAAAGATTCGAATGTACTACAACACAAAGGTATAGTCATTTGATACATGTTAAGGAATAGCAGTAAGAAAAAATTAAAAATCTTTGTTTTCTGTGACTAAACTATCATGTTTCTGTAGGAACACAAAACTTTTGTATGTACAGTAAAAAGACACTGAAATTTACAATATTAGTCTCAGTTCTGAGCTAAGGTGTTTTGGGCATTATTCCTTGGTACTTGCATGGCACAACAGCACACACAGTGTAATGTGCAAACACTGTATGTTCAGAACCAAGATTGTAGTGCAGTCACACCATGAAACATGGGCAAGCACTATCTGAAACATCATGGATTCATTACATGTTTGATTTGGAATTAATTTTTGGTTGTTGACATTCAAAAACATTTTATTGTTACCAATTTTTGAAGGCCCCACATTCATTTATTTATCCCATATGAAGTTATGGCCCCAAATTTAAGAAACTGTTGTCATAGAACATGAGGGAGTCATTGAAGGGTTTCAGGGATAAAGGTCAAGTAATTAACTGAAGCTCGACTTTAGAAGACTGAAGGGGAGGGGGAGAATACAAATGAGTTTATTGAAAACTTTAACTTATCATCTTCTTTACCAGTTTTCAAGCTGTGCACAGTTTTGCCTCAGGCAAAGCTCTTCCCTGGGGCCCACTGTGTGCAGCCATGGCCAGCTGCCATTCCCTGATCCTTCTTGATGGAACCATTCAAGGAGACCCTCTGGACCTCAAAATGTTTGAAGGCACTGCCTGGGTAAGGTGATGGTAAGGTGACTAATAATATTAGTTATTATAAATGTATAATCATTATGAATTCACACTCTAAAAATTTATTAGCAACGCTGGCATGGTGGCACATGCCTTTAGTTCCAGCCCTCAGGAAGCAGAGGCAGGTAGAGCTCTGAGATGGGGGATAGCTTGGTCTACATAGTGAGTTTCAGGTGGGCTGGGACTAGGGAGACCCTGTCAAAATAAAGCCCCCAAATTTGTTACCATATATTCATTATACAAAATGATTGGTTTCAGAGTGACCCTTTTACAAATATATCATGCATTTGTCAATATTCACCCCATTACTCTTTCCTGTACCCAACTCTTGCCTGTCCTCTTCCCAAATAGTCCCCTTTCTACTTTCATATCATGCACATGCTATATGTATATATGCCATGTAGGTTCTACGTGTGAAAGAAAACATACAATACTTGTCTTTCTGAGTTTGCCTTGTCTCTTTTAGTATGATCTCCATTTCTATCATTTTTATTAAAAATGTCATAATTTTATTTTTCATGGTTGAATAAAGCTCTATTGTGTAGCTGTATCACAGTATTCTTGTCCACATATCTCTTGATAGACACCGAGACTGCTTCCATAACTTGGCTATTCCAAATAGTGCCACAGTAACCATAAGTCACCTTTGGGGTATCCTGACTTAGATTCTTCTGGGTGTATTTCCAGGAATAGTGTAGCTGGCTCATATGATAGTTCTATTTTTAGTTTTTGGTTTTTTTTTAGAAACTTTATACTGATTTCTTTTATTAGTATATTTATTTTTATGTTTGAGTGTATTGCCTGCCTGTATGTAAGTGCATCCATAGCATACAATGCCTGAAGAAGTAAAAAGAGGGCATCAGATCCCCTGGAACTGGATTTACAGATGGTTGTTAGCCACTATGTGGGTACTGGGAACTGGCCCTCGGTCCTCTACAAGAGCAGCCAGTGCTCTTAACTGCTGAGCTATGTCTCCAGCCCTTTTACTGTTTCTATCATTGCTGAACTGATTTGTATCCCCAACAACGTAATACAAAGGTTCTTTATTCACAAAATCATGAGCAGTGTTTGCTGTGGCTTGTTTGCATTCTAACTGAGTTTGAATCTCAAAGTGGTTTGTATTAGCATTTCACCAGTGTCTAGGGTTCTGGAATTTTTTTCATATATCTGTTGCCCATTTGCTCTTTTGAGACCTGTCACTTTATTTGTCCATTGGCTTATCTTGGCTTAGGTGTATAACTTTTTAGCTGTTTATACATTATAGCTATTAATCTATGTTAAGTGTATAGTTGGAAAGATTTTCTCTCGTTTTATGTGTTATCTCTTTGCTGTGTTAGCTGTTTCCTTAGCTTGTTAATCTGTTGCAATCCCATTTGTCAATCTGTAGACTACCTTCAGTAATATAGCCATTTCCATAATATTAATTCTGCTAATCAATGAGCATAAGAAGTCCTTCCATCTTCTAGCATCTTCTTTGATTTTATTCTTTAATGCATTGAAGTTTTCATTGTAGAGGGCTTTCATATCTTTGGTGAAGTTTATTCCTATGTATATTTTTAAAGCTATTATGAATGGGATTGTTCTCTGATTCTCATCTTGGTATGCTTGTTATTGGCATATAGGAAAGGTACTACACTTTATATGTTGATTTCGTGTTTGGGTACTTTGTTGAAATTGTTTATCAAATCCAAGATTTTCTGGCAGAATCTTTAAGGTGTTTTAAGTATAGGAACATATCATCTACAGTAGGGATAATTTAACTTCTTATTTGCATCCTTTTCTTTCTTTTTCTTTATTGCTCTTGCTAACATCTCAGCTATTGAATAGGAGTTAAGAGAGTAGATATTCTAGTCTCATTCCTACTTTTAGAGGAAATTCTCTGTTTTTCTCCATTTAGTATAATGTTGGTTATGTCATATATAGTCTTCATTATGCTGAGACACATTCCTTTTAGTCTTAGTATCTTAGGGAATTTTATAATGAAGATGTGTTGAAGGCCTTTTCTGCATCTGTTGAGATGATCAGTCATTTCTATACTTAGTCCATTTAATCTATTACAGTCACTGATTTGTATAGGCTAAATTCTATCTCTGGAATGAAAACAACTTCATCATGATATATAATCTTTTTAATCTTCAAATATTCTACTGATAATTTTTGGAATCATGTTATCAGAGAAATTGGTCTGTAGCTAGATTTACACTTTTTGCACTGGATCCTTATATACTATCAGGGTAATACTGACTTTATAGAACGAGTTTAGGTATTCCTTCTTTATTTTATGGAATAATTTGAGAAACATTATAAGGTAACTCCTTTTTAATCTCTTTTTTATAATGTACGTGTATATGCTTTAAGAGGCTTCTATAGTGGTAGGTTTCTATATGACTTTCTAAAGGCCTTTAGTATTACTAATCTCTCCCCATACTTCTCTCCTCTGTTCAGCTTTCCCATTCCCCACCCCAGTTAAGCCTTTCTACTCTATTATTACCCTTTCCCCTTTTATACCCCTGAATTCTACCTCCCATCCCCGTCCTGTGGAGTCCCCCTCTCCAGGATTGCCATTTATTAGATTCCTGACTTCTCTGGATTTTCAAATTGAAACATGAATATCTAAGATTTCAAACCTACCATCTAGCTATGAGGAAGAATATGCACAGTTTTTCTTTCTGGGCCTGGGTTACCTCATAGAATAATTGTTTGGCATTCCATCTGTTTATGTTTGAATTTCATAATTTTCATTTTTTTAAGAGCTGAATAATATTCCATTGTGTATATGTACCATTCCTTCATTACACATTCATCAGTTGATGGGTATCTCAGTTTCAAATTCCTGGGTTTATGCAAAGGACATCAATGAACATGGTTAAACATGTATTTCTGTAGTATGATATAAGACCTTTTAGGTATATGGCCAAGAGTGGTATAGATGAATCATATGGTACATCAATTTCTAGATTTTTGAGGAATCTCCACACTGATTTCCATAGTGACTGCACCAGTTTGTACTCCAACCTCCACATCTTCACCAGCATTTGTTGTTTATTTTTTTGATCTTTGTCATTCTGAGAGGGGTAAGGTGAAATCTTAAAGTGGTTTTAATTTGCATTTCCCAAGGACTAAAGATGCTGAGCATTTTTAAAATATTTCTCATCTGTTTGCACTTCATCTTTAGAGAACTCCTTGTTCTGTTCCTTACCCTTTTAGTTGATTTGGGTTTTTTTATGTTTAGTTTTTTTGAGTTCTTTGTATAGTCTAGATACTAATCCTCTGTTAGAGGTATAGAGTATAGCTGGTAAATATTTTTTCCCATTCTGTAGGCTGACTCTTCACTCAGATGATGCTGTCCTTTGCTATGCAGAAGCTTTTAAAAGTCTCATGTGGTCCTGTTTGTCAATTGTTGGACTTAATGCTTGCACTATAGGAGTCCTGTTCAAAAAGTCCTTTCTTGTGCCTATATGTTCCAATATACTCTCTACTTTCCTCCTCTGTCAGATTCAGAGGCTCAGTTCTTACATTGAGGTCCTTGGTGGATTCGGAATTGAGCTTTGTGCATGGTGAGAGATAGTGATCTAGTTTCTTTCTTCTATACGTAGCTATCCGTTTGACCAGCATAGTTTTTGAATTTCCTGTCTTTTTTACAATATGCATTTTTTGCACCTTTGTGAAAAATCAGGCTGTGAATATGTGGATTTATATCTGGATCTTCAATTCTATTCCACTGATCAATGTGTCTGTTTTTATTTCAGGCACCATTTTGAGTTTATTACTATAGCTCTGTAGTAGGATTTGAGATCAGGGATGCTAATGCCTCTAGCAGTTCTTTAGTTCAGGATTATTTTAGCTATCCTGGGTTTTTTATGTTGTCATTCAAAATTTGAGATCACTTTTTCGATTTGTGTGAAGAATTCTGTTGGAATTTTAATGGGTATTGCATTGAATTTGTATATTGCTTTTGGGAGGATGGCCATTTTCACAATATTGTCCCTACCAATCCATGAACATGGGAAATCTTTCCATTCTCTGTATCTTCTTCAATTTCCTCCTTCATTGTCTTCAAGATTTTGTTATACAAGTCCTACACTTTCTTGGTTAGATTCATTCCAAGAAATTTTGGGAGTTTTGAGGCTATCGTCAATGGGATCATTTCCCAGATTTTGTTCTTGGTATGTTTGTAGTTGGTATATAGGAAGGCTGCTGATTTGGGGTGTTAATTTTATATTCTGTTGCTTTGCTGAATGTAATTCAGCTCTAGGAGGTTTCTGGTGAAGTCTTTAAGATCTTTTATATATAGAATCGTATCATCTGCAAATAAGGATACTTTGTGATTTCTTCCTTTGCAATTTGTATCTCCTTTGTCTCCTTCATTTGTCTTCTTGCTCAAGCTAAGACTTAAAGTACTATATTGAACAGTAATGGAAAGAGGGGACATACTTGTCCTGTTCTTGATTTTCATGGGACTGCTTTGAGCTTTTCTCCATTTAGTATGATGTTGGCTGTAGGCTTGGTATATATGTCATTTATTATGTTGAGATATAACCCCTGTGTTCCTAGATTCTTCATGCCTTTTTTTGTGAGGGGATGTCTGATTTTGTTCAAGGCTTTTTCTGTACCCAATGAGATAAAAAATAGTTCTGAAAAGTTATGTTTTTATTTTCATGTCACTCTAATGAGTTTAATTCCCTCTTCAATTTTTAAGTGACATACTGGCCATTTAGTACAGTATTATTCATTATCCATGTATTTGTACAGCTTTTTATCAAAATTGATTTATAATTACAATGTACAGTGATTCCTAAGATACAAGAAATAGTTTCAATTTTTTATTTATTAAGATTTGCTTTATGAGACTGGAGATACGGCTCAGCAGTTAAAAGCACCAGCTGCTTTTGCCAAAAACCCAGGTTTGGTTCCCAGCACCCACATGGTAGCTAACAACTATCCAAAACTTCAGTTTTGGTGATCTGATGCCCTTTTCTGACCTCC